AGCTTAGCTAGATAAAGGCCGAAGCACCACAGTCACGCAATATAGCACAACGTACCAAATTGTAACTAGTTAGATAGAACGGCCTTTGGCCAAAGTCCTACATAGCCAACGGCTGATACAGGACTATAATGGAATAATAATAATAATGACGATTACTCACACACTTTTCAATCATCACATTCATCACGCAAACCACCAAACACAAAGCAAATTCTCAAAACTTCATTCAATTCATAAACTCCATCCCATCACTCCACTATAACTCCCGGACCCTCCCCTTGGCTTACAGGGTCTCCTATACCTGCTTCATAGCTAGGTACTCTTCCAGCGTGTACTCTGCTCCCTCATCGTGGCTCCAGCTGGGAAGTAGGTTGCGCACTTTAAGCGTCATGACCGCCCCCTCCACATCCGCCTCTGTGTAGGTGGTTTTCCCGGTCATTTCGAGCATGATGATCGCGGCGTCGAGTTCCCTTAGGGTAAAAGTCTTGGTTTGAGGAGCCATTGTTGTTTTGGTATTTGTGCGATGTTATAGTTTTTTTGTTGTATCTTGATGTGTTGTGTTGTGTATGGCAAGGTAATCGTTGTATGAAGTCTAAATGGCTTGTTTGGTGGAAGGTATATAGGAATCGGGTGGTCGTATTTTATATTGTGAAGGTGCAGATGAATAAGAGCGCTGTGAAAGGGATTTCAAAAATAAATAGTGGACGGCATTGTTAAGGAATGACCTAAGTCGGATAATGTTCATCATTCTGCGTTGGAGTGAAAGGCTTCGGGTTTTGGTCAAAGACGAAGTCAAGGCATTGTATTATAAAGTCACTTGATCTTGGTATTTTTCCTTTTTATGTGTGCATATGAAATACTTGTGTAGTGCTCAGCATGGATCAGTCAAGTAAAGATACAAAATGTGGTGTTGTATAACCATGAACCGCAGGGTGCAGGCTCGCCATGAAAGGATAATCTCCAACAAAGAACATGTCTAGCTGAACTAACAACTAATTCTTACGTCATGTGTTGACTGTTGAACTGCTGTTTTCCGCTCTAGAAGTTGTCTCAATATTCGATTTCAAGGTGCGATGTTGTAGTCAGCGCATCTTGATCCAATCACACGTCCGGAAATGGTACAAATTGGCTTTTGCAATGGGTGATCATATCCTCTGCTGAAGCATATTATTTGGCTCATTTTTTTCTACTTGATTTCTGTGACTATCCTGCGTCTTATTCAGGAAACTCCTGCATTCTCAGTATCATGCACAAATCTCGGCTCTTCAGATTTCATCGCTGTTGTCCCGCTTCTCCTCATCCCTCTCTTCAACCCACTCATCCTGCCAATTTTCATCTACCCACCCCTTCAACTTGCCCTTTCTAGCCCTCTCCTTCTTAACCGCATTCTCCGGGTACTGGTCAGGCCACCCATCCTCCCTCCACTCCTGTAGCCTGGTAGCCGCACGATGACCAAACTTGTCCATGCGAAACTCAATACGCGGCATGGCGTACAGCGGCTCAATCGGCGCCAGCAGCGTCCTTTTAAAAACTTCATTTCTAGGCCCAGCTTTAGAGATGCCTAGCACCGTCTTTATTTTCAGCTTTGCCTCTGCGTAGATTTGTCGGTGATTCTCGGGAGTAATTTTGCTTAGAGCTTCTGCGTAGATGTCGAGAACAGCGCCGCGGTCGCGAGGACAGCATATCTTGCTGTTGAGATCGTTGGGTACTGACTTTGTGAAGCGGAAACGCTCTCTACGTAGTTTGCTGATTGTCTGTTCCAGAGAAACGTTTCGTTCTCGATGTATGTCTGGCGAAGTGGGGAGGCTGCCTACATCGTTTCCGAATTGGAAGTCGGACCATGTCAGCCCAGTTTGCCTTGGGGGCGGAAGTGATGGTGGAGTCGATTGAGCAAGCTTGAGTTGCGTCATGATTTCTGATTGGGTCGTTGTGTTGAGGGAGGATGTAGCTAAGCTGGGTGAATGGTCTTGAAAGATATTGATATAGCGCGGTGGAGCAACTACTGGTCACTTTGTGTAACGTCACTTACACCCAAACAGGCGCGTGATGCGTCGATGCTTGCCCAGGCATAACTTTTAGTCAGCGGAGAGTTGGTGCTGATAAAGAAGCGGGAAGGAGCGCTAGTGCTGCCTAGATATGTATACACTTCTACCCTTCTCACAGTGACCAAGCAACATCACTGTACACTCTACAACTAAGTCAAAGTTCTTTCAGACAACCTCATTGTCAATGCATACGTTTTTGGTCAGGTGAGGATCAAATCAATATACTCGTCGCAGTGAAGTGTCTGACAGAAGTGAGAGGAAGCTTCCAATGTTATGCCGGGCCAAGTGAATATTGATGTAATCACAAAGAATATGCGCTTTGGTTCAGGGCTCTATTGCTACCTTTGTCTTTCTAGTGTGTTCCCGAATAACGTTGAGAAACGTAACTTTCGGTGAATGCAGAAAATACCTCCATGACCACCAAGCAACCTCATTCCCGCGCGACATCAACAATATCATGCCTGCGCTTCGTCTCCAGCAGACGTCGACTCTCCGGACCCAGTGGGTCCTGCTTCCAAATTTTCGGCCGACGAAGTTGCTTTAGCCATGTTTGGGTCAAGCCCATGAGACCCCAACAGTCCGCGTTCCTTGAACGCTTCGGCAAGCGCAGCCTCGAGGCGATGATAAAGTGAAGGTTTACCCGCTGCAATATCGGCTGCCCACTTCTTCATCATCTGTCCTGGCACCCTATCCGGATGACCCTGTGTATCGAGTTAGCATCGCATGGTCTTGTCTTGCTGGACGTATCTCTCACCTTTACGACAATAGGCTCGCCACGTGCCACGGCTGCAACACGCTCTTGCATGACCTCATGGAATTGACCGAAGAAGTATGAGGCCTCAGAGTTAATATCCACCCCCTCGTCTGCAATGATACGTATGTCTTCTTGGACTTTCAGCCAATCTTGGCGGAGGCCACAGAACAGCAAGATCCAGTCGTAGCGGTCTTCGTCTGTGGTTTCTCCTATATAATATCTGTTAGTACGACGGTGGTACACGACGTATGCGAACACGGCAAATTTTGGATACCGTATTCGGCACTGTAAAAGGCATCAATATCCCGCTGGGGCAAGAGGCTTGAAAAGTCGTATGCAGGCTGGGAGTTCGGTGTTTGCATAGGAGGTTGCTCAGAGGCAGCAGTGCCATTAGCCTCGTTAGTGTTTGTCGCCATGTCGGAGGCGACACGGCGAGAGGTTCGTTGAAACGATGTGTGTCTGAAAGAGCTTTGTGTTTTTTGCACGCTCCTCTACACAGTACTACCAATTTGGGCGCACGGACGCCGACGACTCTGATAGTGAAAGAGACCATGTTGTTTGTAGAGGTGACGCACGGACCACCTCACATTGACGGTGAAGGAGACTATTTGGCAGTAGAACGCTGACATGGGATAGCACAGCCCTGGTGTTCGATCACTGGTGGACGGATTTGATTGATTGATTGGCAGAACAGGTGGACAGCAAATACGAGGGAACACGTGCGTGATTGGCGACTTAAAAAAAGCTACGACCAAGGGGCAGCCAAACGATACCGTATTCGCCATCGCATGTACATTTTGGTATGTAGTAAGTACCAAGTACATACGCTGTAGACACTGTCCACTGTTTTGTCCCTGATCTGGTCCACAGCAAAGTCGCGACAAAAAAAGCAGATGATGGCCACGGCATGCATGATTGCACATGCAAGATGGCGACTGAGACGAATAGAAGCATGGCCATCCCCGGCCCCGACGCGTGTCGTCGTTTTGGCAAAGGCCATGCAAGCCGCCCCCGCCCGCCACAGCACATGCCCAGGGGCTCTTCCGGACGGTCCTGGTGGGGCTTAGCTCGCCGCATCCCTGACTACGACGGTTGGCGACACGCGCCTTTTTCAAATGCAACCACGGCCATTGCCATGGTTTGAAACTGTCAAACTGGCTGTCTGTTAAAATCTCTTGGTCTCCGCTCCCTCGATTTGCATCTTCGCACACGCTCATGCCCCGCCGCACTCGCTAGCCATCATGTCGGCCTTCCGCAAACACATGCCGCGCACCACTCGCTTACTCGTCACTGTCTTCTTCCTCTACATCTTCGTCTGGGTCAAGGGATGGCCGCGCATCTACGACGAGGAAGAGCTGCCTGCCGTCCAGCGTCCCCAGCAGCAGGGCGCTCCTGTCGGCCCTTACCAGGTTGAGCGCGACCAACTCGTCGTCTCCGTCACTACCACCGCCATCAACGTCAACTCCAAGGTTGCACCCCTCATCCTCAATACCGCCAACGAGGACCATGGCATGCTGCTGCTCTTCTCGGACCTCCAGGCCCAGATTGGCGCCTGGCCCATTTTCGACGTCGTCTGGCGTCTCACCGCCGATGTCGTCTTGCACATTGACGAGTTGAAGAGATACCGCACCCAGCTTGATTTTGCGCGGAGGAGCATCCCCTTGCAAAACCTCGTAAAGGCGGACCCTGAGGAAGAGAAAAAGGACATGTTGGTCCTGGACAAGTACAAGATCTTGCAGACAATGAATGCCGCCTGGGAATACCGACCCGGCCGTAGCTGGTACATTTTCGTCAACGACGAAACTTACGTCAACAGGCCAAACTTGATTGACTGGCTCGGCCAGCACAATCCCGACGCAAAGCACTACTTTGCAAACCCACCCATACCCGCCGAGACCCTCGTCCCCGACCCATTTGCTCCCTCGGGCACCTCCTTCATCGTGTCGCGCAAGGCCATGATGGAGCTGTTTGTAGATCGCAAAGACTATATCAAGAAATGGGCAAAGCACATCCCAGAGTATACATCGGCATACCATCTGGTCACGAGTGTGTTGCAGGAGGAGCTCAACATGTCCGCTGTTCCTGTATGGCCCGGCATTACCGGCTACGACCCCAGCACTGCGCCTTTCCATCCTTCGTTGTGGTGCGAGCAAGTCATGGTTATGCATCATGTCACACCAAGAATGGGTGGAGATTTGGCTAAATTGGAGAGAGAGCAGCCCGCCCACCAACCTATGCGCTTTGCAGACCTATGGAACCACTTCTTCACCCCGGAAGACCTGAACTCTACACGAAGTAACTGGGACAATCTATCCTCGGAAGCGTCAAACGGACGCTGGAACATCCTATTCGAGAACGACGAAGGCGCCAAGGACCGCGCCAAGTCAGGTGAAGAGTCGCCAGAAGCATGCCGACAATCGTGCGAGGCCAGCACCTATTGTGTACAGTGGTCGTATTCATCAATTCCCCAAACCAATTGGAATGACAATCCCGAAACAAAATGTCATCTCAGCAGCAGTATACGCTTTGGGGCCTATGTTAAGCCCAAAGAGGTGTCAGGAACTGACGGAAAGCAGACATTGACTTGGAAGAGTGGATGGAAAAAGGCAAGGTTTCATAATTGGGCAAGACGACAGCGATGCAATCAACATCTCCAGTAGGCCCTTTGTAGTACTTTGTTTTGCAGCGTTTTAGCGTTTCGTATACTTCTGCATAATTTTCTTCCTTTTCTTTTCTTTCGTCATGTTTTACTACACACAGCCCCTGCTCCTGAAATGGCACATAGGGAGGTTATAGAAAGAGTAGATACTTGGGTAAACTCGCATTAACTAGCCAACGTTTAGGAATTCGGGTACGTGGAGGTCAAAAATAGATTCAGCCCTCCCTCTCCCAAATGCTTGGTACTTCCAACGCGTGAGCACGTGTTTTCGCTTAGACCCCAGCCATCCCTAGCCGTCCTCCCAGCACGTACCAGCCTTGCAACCTGTCCTTCGCCCGTTTCTTGCTCAGGGCTCGATTGTTTGCCGTCTTATCGGCCCGCTGCCTCTGCCTTGGGACCTTGTATCCCGTGAGTTGCATGCGCTGTGGAGAGGGGCTGGAACGTGTACGTGGCTTAGACCATACCTACGCGCATACCCGCTTCGCGGTCCGTCAACACCAACAACTTTGCGCTCATTGCTTCTATTACCAACATCACCGCAATCACCATAAAAGCCGCTGAAAACAAATGAAAATGCCTATTTGATAAGGCTCAGCCATCTTTCCAGGGCCTATAATGTCACTCAACGACCTTCGGAACGGCATAGCCTCTTATGGCGCCGGACAACAGCTGGATGCTCTGCCATCGGCAGATAGTATGACCTGGGCCCCGCAACCAGGCGCAAATCCCGCGTTTTCTCTTTTAATTGGCAGTCTTGATGGGCAACAAATACTTGCCTACTTGACTAGATATGGAGAGAAGCCGCGAGAAGTGCGCTATTGCACCAGGCCTCCCCCTGACAGGCCCTCAAACAAACCTTCATCGTCAATGTCAACAGTAACCCAAGACGACGTCATGAAGGCGTCTCTACTTCCGCCATTCAAGTACCTTGCAGAGAATTCTAAGCCCATGAAGCGCAAGTTTAGCATGCTTATCCGGTGGTACTTTTTAATAAAGGGATACATTGATGGCCTCGAGGGCGACCAAGGAGATTTTTGCAAAAGATTCAGCTCTGCAGTCAAGAGGATTGAGGAAGAGAAGCATGATGAGGAAGATGGTACTCAGAATCGCGCCAGGCGAAACCGCGAAGCCATAGAAGAAAGCCCGGAGCCCGAAGACGCAGATAGTACCTACACCTTGCGCTCCAACAGCCGTACTGGTAAGACGCACGTGATAAATGGCGACAAATCTGAGCCACAGAGTCCATCAGTAAGATCGTCACGGGAGTTAAGGAACAGCAAAGGCAATCACGACCTTGAGCGTTTATTGGAGTACCTGAAAGACCACAACGCATTGTATCTTCTGGACAACCTACCTGAAGTATCGGAGATCCAATTTGTTGGCCAAACATCTATACCCGAAGCTCAGCCGATGAAGCTCTTTGTTGGACGCGAAGCGAAATCCGGTGATGATATATACGCCTACATGGTCAGTTTAGCGCGTGGCTTCCACGAAGTTCGATTCTACGTCCAAACCGCGCACGACGAGGAGCCTATGAAAACCGAAACAGTCTCCAAACAGCGCCTCATTCATCCATTCAGCAAGTGCTACCCAAAACAGCCCTGCATCCTAGAACAGTCCGATAGAGCCAGACTGACCCTAATGGTAAAATTCTATTTCATCTCCGCAGGCATCGCAACCGACTGCGTCCTCAAGGAAACGAAAAAATACCCTGAACGCCTACGCGTCGCACTCGACTACATCGCAGACCGCATGGGTCCCGCCGCCGCCAAACCCCCTTCTCACACCAAAAAGGACGACGACGATGACACCGCCGCCACCACCGCAGTCCTCAACAACCCCCCAAAACACCGCCTCTCAAGCGAAAGCTCCTACATCGACGAAAGTGATATCCAATCCACCCTCGCCCTCGAACCCCCTCGCCCCCATCCCAACCGCCCCCCCAAACCCCCCGTCTTCGCCCGCAAATCCACCTACATTCTCCCCCC